CAGAGCGAAACAGACGGTTGCTTTTAGATGTGGGACTTTGCAACCTGACAAAAAGAAAAAAGAATTGGAAACTACCACACTTTTTAGGATACTTTATATACCGTTTCTGATAATAACGCGTTTTCCCCGATTTCCATGTCTGCCCCTCTAAAAGCGATAAAGATTTTCTTGTTGAAAGACCATCCTTGGGAGAAAATAACTCGTCTCAGCGAGAAATTGACTCGGTTGCCTCCGCAGTTGAATACCTTGCCGTGTCAATAGGTCGCGCGATCCATACACGATTCGCGACCGATTTCCCGAATACACGCAAATAAATCACGCCGCGGCCGCCATTAGACCGTTAGACGTGCGCGCGCGTGGACAAAAACCGGACTGCTTTTTGCACAGAAAGTAGAAAAAAAAATGAAAACCACTTCACCGAGGCAATCCACAAGTTACAGAAGCGGCATTCAATTTCTCGGCGGAGAGACGGAGGGTACTGGAGGCTCGGAGCGACACGAGCGACCCAGGTAAATTTAGCGTCTCGGGTACCTTGTCGTCACAAAATTATTTATTTCCACCTCGCGATTCATTATCGTCGCGAGCCGGCCATTGTTACAGAGACGCGGCTCGTAATTCAACGCGCGCTAAAGAAAGAGAGAGAGAGAGAAAACACGGTGGAAAGGAAATGGACACCGGATCGCGCGCGACGCGGCCGAGAGGCGAGCAGGTGCTCGTTTCTTTCTTCGATGCGGCTATCGGCCAGACGACACTTTGCAAAACAAACAGAGATAAAGAGCCGCGGCGGTGTACGTACGCGTGCCCGATCGAGCGGCCTTCGCACGTGACGGAGAGGGGTTCGCGTGCGGCGAAGCGAGCCGGACATTGTTCCCAAGTTCAATCGGCGAAGCGCTCTGTAACCGCGACATACAATTAAAAGAGTGTCTAAAGGCGGAGGCGCGGGTGAAATTTTTAATTAAGAAATGCTGGGACTGCATTGTCTCGGCGTAATGATCCTGGGCGGCCGCACGAAGGGCACGAGGGAAACGCAGCTCGAGCGTAAGTCCCAGTCTACAATAGAGATTTAAGCCCTAAGCCTTAAGAAATTGACTAATCACAGTCGCGCATTCTTCTCATACTTGACCGTGATTGGCCAATTTCTTAAAGCTTAGGGCTTAAATCATCTATTGTAGACTGGGACTAAAGGTTTATCTACGTAAGACGCAGGACGCGGGTCGCAAGTCGCAGAACGCGGAACGCAAGTCGCAGGTCGTAAGACTTTTGCGTCTATATAGTCCACATAGATACGCAGCGAGCTCTCTGCGTCAAAAGAAAAATGAATAAAATGTCAATTAGAACATAAATGTCATTACTTCTCTTAATTTTTTTTTAACTTTATAAATTAAATCCCGCGTTGCCGCGGAATCCCAATTATATACCATTTAAAAAAAAAACTTAATTTCTCGCCTCGACGAGATCCTACGATATACGAGAATATTTGACAGTTGCCGCGATATGACAAGATACAGGTATGTTCTGATTGGCTGGTCGCTTCGACGCAGGACGCGAAAGTTGAAATTCGCCCAACTTCTGTGCGTCCTGCGTATTGAAGCCTGCGGCTTGTTGCGGCCGGAAATACGTCACGCTGCGTCTAATCTTGCGACTTGCGACCCGCGTCCTGCGTCTTATGTAGATAGACCTTAACGTTTTTTAACGCGAAAATTTAACGCTGCAAAAGATGATAGACAGTTGTTTACGAGGGCCCCGCATATTTTTCGGAATATTACCGTCGCGCGTTATGAATTATTAATAGAACGTGTCCGGCCTCTCGCGCCGTGAAAGGATAACCGCAACCCTGAAATATTGGCTTCCCGCGCGGCCCGAAGCTTCCCGAGGAAATTACGGAGCCGCATTGCGCCCCCGTGACAAATCTTGCAAAACGCCGGCAGGCGTCGTTCGGAAAGAAAAATTTATACTCGCGCGAGACACGCGAGTTTATCCCGCGATCTATTGCGCGGTTTTGCGCGGTTTCCTTCCCCTTTTTTTTTAACTCAATCGAGAGATCCGAAACGCGGAATTGCCCGCGAGATCGTGAATCCTCCCAGCGCGCTATTTTTCAAGTCTACCCTTTTATGGAAAAAGCCTGTCGACCGTTATTTAAGCGTGATATTTCTAAAAATTCCTTGAAATTCATTTAATCTTGCTTGAACACTGAATCCAACACTGCTCTTGGGGGGAAAAAAAAAGACAGAGCAGGCGCCTCCCAACGCACTGCCGTCTCTTCGATTATTGATAAGACGATTATTGATACTTGGCGACTGAGTCTGCGAGCGTCAATGTCGGCGACTCCCTCGACGCGCATATATCGCGGCGAATACTATCTTGCTTTATCGCCTACGCGCGTGACGTGTAACAGGAAACGCGGGGGGGAAAAAACGGAAACGCTTCACTTACGCGCAGCAAGTAATTAAGTCTTTGGTCAGCAGTTAATGCCGTTTCCGCGACAGTAAAAAATAGCGCGGGCAAATCGCGCCGCACGGAAAAAAACATTTAGCTGCTGTAGCTAAAACTTAGTTAAAATAGGGACAGCTAATATTTTTAGTTGTGATAGCTCAATATTTTGCTACGACAGCAAACGGTTTGCTGCCTATGTGCACATGTGCCTATTGTATTAGGTGCGACAGCAAACGGTTTGCTGTCGTAGCAAAATATTGAGCTATCACAACTAAAAATATTAGCTGTCCCTGTTTTACTAAGTTTTAGCTACAGCAGCTAAATGTTTTTCTCCGTGTGCCTATTGTATTAGGTGCGACAGCAAACGGTTTGCTGTCGTAGCAAAATATTGAGCTATCACAACTAAGAATATTAGCTGTCCCTATTTTACTAAGTTTTAGCCACAGCAGCTAAATGTTTTTTTCCGTGCGCTGACCACAAATATTTTATCTAGCCCGCTTATCGGGAGCGGACTCCGAAACGGAAGGATATCGGCGCGTTAGTCCCGGTCTAGAATAGAGATTTAAACTCGAAGCCTTAAGAAACTGACTAATCACAGTCGCGTATTCTACTCGCACTTGACCGTGATTGGTCAATTTCTCAAAGCTTAGGGCTTAAATCCTCCATTGTAGACTAGGACTTATGTTCCTTCAACTCGGGGTTGAAACGCTCGATTGTAAAACGCCGCAGAGAGAAAGGGAGCACGAGGATAATCGATTCCGCGAAGAACAACCGAGACGAGTGAACAAAAAAGAACGTATCGAGAGTACAAAATAGAGGCAGCTTTGTTAAAATTCACAAGTTGGAAGGATTCAGAGCGAAGGAGACGACTGGCGAGCCAGACGACTATCAAATAAATGGGAAACCGAGCGGGAGAGCGTTGCAGAAGGTGTTTGCACAACACCTACCGTCGCCCGTCCTCAGCCCACGACTATCCAATTGTTTTTACATAGAGGAGAGTCCTTTAATACGAGACAGTAGGTTTCCAACGTCCGAATTCGATCGCAAATCTCCTTTCGCCACGACGCGATCAATTTTCCGCTAAACAGGCCACTCCGAGGGCGCAAAATTCGCGGTGGCGTCAACAGAGGACGTCTATTAATTTAGCGGAAGATAGCGAAACCCCGCTATCTCGTATTAGGAGCCTGTCCCCGTAATAGAGGACTCTCCTCTAATTACAATATAATTAAAGATAAACAACGTGGCGAAAGAAAATCGGGTAAAATTAGAAGAAAATCAGATTCCGGGCGTGTGTGCGCGCGTGTGAGAGAGAGAGAGGGACGTTATTTCCACGGGCAGCGGCGCGGCGCGGCCGGAATTGCCGGAGGCCGGCGTACTTCGCGCGGAGGCCCGCTTCGCCTCGCGCCGCGCCGCGCAACTTGGCGCGAGGCGAAGCTCCCGGCCGGAGGTGAAGTATCGATTCGCGCACGCGAGAGAGAGAGAGATATCAAAAATTGAATCTTCCCCGGCGCCGTGTCGCGGCCGGTCGAAAGCGGGGGCCCGAAATGGCGCCAAAACTGCGCCGCGCCGCGCCGCTCCGGCGGGGTCCGTCGGGCGGGAAGGGGGGGGGCGAAAAACCAGGAGCCGCGCTCCGATTTTCGGGGACGCGCGCGTCGTCCGAGCCGGGGCGCGGGGGGCGAGCGTCCCGGACGGCGCGGACGGCGGGGGGGGCAGGCAGCGTCGGAGAGAGAGTGGAAGTACGTTTGTTTACGCTCGCCGTGAGAAGGAGGAGGAGGACGGGGGGGACGGGCGGTGGGCGGCGGACAGGGGCGCACGGCCGCGCGAAATGGCTGTCTCGCGCGTCTCGCAATCGGCGCCTTTCGTTTCGCGCTCTACTCACCGCTCAGCTGCTCGTCCGACGTGCACTTCACCGTGGACGACATCGCCGTGCGCGACGCGCGTCGTGTACGTGCGGCACTCGCGGGAGGAAAGGAGCCGCGGGCGGAGAGGGGGGCGGGGGGGAATTCGCAACTTCGCGGACGGAGAGAGCGAGGGACGCCGGGGCGAGGCGCGGAGAGTGCGATGCACGTTGAGAGGAACCGCGCGCGCGATAAGGGGCGACGACGACAACAACGACGACGCTTAACGACACTGGGCTCGACGCGCGAACTTGCCGCCACGGACACTCGCGATGAAATGCTGCCGGGAGGGCAGCGCCGCCGTGCTTTGTTTTGACGCACGTCGGGCGCGCGCATGTGCCGGCCGCGCCACGGCCGGGCCAATCGCGTCGCGCCGCGGTGTAAATAGACCGCGCGAGTCGACGCGCGGCCTACGTTGCACCGACTACGTGCGTCAACCGCGCCGTCGCGCGGACCGACTTCGCTCTTGCTCGTCGATTTCTCTCGAGGGAGCAGCGCGGCAAGAGCCGAGGCTGATCCGCGACGACAGGAGAGGATCAGCCTCCACGCTATCCGCGCGGAGTTTCACGGGACGTCCAAGCGCGAACGGGGGGGGATGAATCTCTGTTCCGGATCTCGGAGCGTTCGACGCGACGCGATCGCATCGATCGCGTCCACGCGGAATCGTCGTCGGGGCCGACATCTACCGGCGAGCGGCTCGAGCGCGTCGCGATAACTTTCTATTTATCTTCCCCCCTCCCTTCCCCCTCCCCCGCGCCGCGCGGCGCTATAATTAGCGCCGCGAGTCGCGGGGATAATAATTTTATCTGGCGCGCGCGGCATGTGGTAATACATACGAGCGGTAACAAATATAGGAGGTGCGAGAGCGATAAATGCTGAATGATAATGTAATAATAACAAACACGAGCGGACCGGTGCCGCTCGTACAACAATAACAACCGATAACGCCGATATATGTATATTGCGTCTGGCGTCGCTTAAGGGGATGCTGGAGTGATTCTGCACTTTTGCACCTTTCTAACCTAAAAACTGTCAGTTCACGG